AGAGAGTTCCCATGAGAACTGCACACTCAGGTAGCACACATTCATTAAAAAGCCAGGAGGTGTTACTAGGTTGTGTTATCAGAGACGTCCCTAGCTTTCAACTCAGCTGTAGACAGAAGACCAGATTTTAAGAAAAATTAAACAGGAGTACTTTTTTTAAAAAAAACAAAGACTCAGTCATTGTCCTCTTTTGAGTAGCTGTTATTTAAAACTGATTTTTCTAAATCCCATTTACGCACAATCTTTCACAAACAAAAGATTTAAATAAGAGGAGACTGCTAAAGAATTTTTTTAGCCATGCATTCAAAACTTTGAGGTGACCCCGCAAGAAAAAAATGTCATCAACTTTTGCTTTTAATCGATAGTTTTGCCAGAATATTGTATTTATTCCTATCGCGGATATTTTCACTAATGTTGCTAGAATTACACTTTGCTATAAGCCCGCAGTAAAAATCATTTTCCCAGTAGAAAATTCAAGCAAACTTGGCAATGGAGTATGTCCCCTCTCACCGCGCAGGCTGCTCTATAAACGGGAACTACTGGGAAGTGGCAGGTCCGAGGTTAATGAGGCGCTTGTCAGAGGGAGGGTGTGGGGAACGGAGGGTGCCCTGGGCCTGTGGAAGGAGCGGCCATTGTTCCAGGATGTTTGCTGTGCTGATACTGTCAACCACAGACAGATGGGTCAAGTGCTGATTACGGCATTCTAACATTTGGAATAGCAAGTAACATATTTGATAAGCTGGCAAGCTTTTATATATGATTCAACCCACAATATAAAAGCCATGAAAATTCCAAATTGAAAATAATTAAATGAGCTGGAAACAATCAGATAGCGCACATTCTCCCCACCCCCACCCCCCAAATGACAGATTTTGACATGTTGAAATTCCACAAAGGGAGCAAGAATATTCCCTAGCGCACTTGAACTAATAGCGGCCCTTCATCTGCTCTTGCGAGGCAATTAATTCCTGCCTTGGCACAATATTGGCGAGAACAATAAACATTGGTAGGCACCTTAGGCTTTGCAGAGATCTAGTCCATGCATTGTTTTATTTGCTCTTACCAGCGACCCTGCAAAGGTACACCAAAAAGGTATTTGAATTCCCAAATTCTAGATGAGGAAACCGAAGCACAGAGAGGTTTAAGTAGAAGGGGCAAGGCTCCGTAGGAGGGGGAGTAGCATTTGAAGGGGGAGACGCCAGTCTCCCAGCTATTTCTGCTCACCAAGAGGAGGGAGCAGTCTTTACCATCCAGGCGTCCGTGACTGTGCAAAAGTGTGTCTTGTTTCGGTCAGTGATGCTGCTACCATCCTTCCCGTGCATCCCTCTGGATAAAGACGTCCAGTCTGAGTATTCAGCCAATCAGCATCTCCGTAGGGTGGTGCTGGTGGCACTGGTCAGAGTCCAGTCCAGTAACGGGGCAGTGACGCCGAGAAAGCAGCGGCTCCCCATTTGTGTTTTATCATCCTTGCTTGTTTGGTAGTTCTCAGAGTTCGTCATCCTATTGGTCACTCTTTGTGAAAGTCAACTTTGTCTCTTTACTTTTTTACCGTCTGTCTTGACCCACCTGAGCCGCTCCCCGGCCAACTCCTGGGCCTCCTACGCCCACCCAAATGCAGACCAGCGTTTTATGTCAGAGGCTCAACGGCAGGACTAGGCCAAAATCAAGTACCATAAACTTCTCCCATTCCTTTACTCGGCAGCTTCCTAGTTTGGTTTGCTTTTCCGCTCATTTTCCTTCTTGAAATGTGTTTTGGTTTGGAATACTAAGCTGAGGCTCGGGCTCTCAAGTTCGACACCAGGTTTTGGGAAAGAGAGCATTTATTTCCAAATGTCCACATTTTTTTTTTTTGTCTAGCTACGTCTGACATATGCAACATTTTCAAATCTCAATGTCAGCACAAAATAACATTGTTGTTGCATAACATTTTGCATGACGATTTCTTTCTATGTTATGAGCTTCAATTCTGTTGTATGAAATGTTTACTAAGTATATTGTATTTTTAGTTCCCCTTCAGTGCTCCAGCTAGTACAAGATTGGGTGAGAGGAATATTGCGATACATTTCAAGACAGCAAAAGACACCAAAACAAAATCATTTCTAAGCTCAAATTTCTCCTTCACCTCTCTTGGGAGAGGGAGGAGGTGCTAGAGGATTTTGCACAATCTTTTCTTTAAAGACAACATCTTAGAGAAGTCTCTTTTAGTACCTTTTTTGCAGTTTAGATACTAAGTTAGCTATGCAAAGAAAGAGGAAAAGAGTGTTATGTCTCAATAAAGTGGCTTGATCTCCATATAGTGGAATTGCAGCTAATTAATGGTAAATGAAAGTCTGGCTACATGGGTTAATTGGAAGATCAAGCCTTCTAGATTAAAGGATCCTTAACCTGCATACTCCAATGGCTGCCTGTTAAAGTAAAACTGCAAAAGGTTTTATTAAACATACTGTCTGTATATATACATCAGGCATACACATGTCTGTGTACATATGCACGCACCTAGAGAATGGCTGCGTGCACATATACACTTTATGTGTATCTATCGATATATATTGTAGTCGATCTGAAAGCACTGCATATTAAAACAAACCTTCAGGTGGTCCTAGCTTAAGCATCTTGGATTTCTCCAAACATAAATATCATTCACAGTTTTTAAATGGAGCTGCATGAAAATATTGGTGGGAATTATTTCATTTCTACATGATATATCATGTGCAGCCAAAATTCCCTACGTTTAGTAAGTATTCCACCCAAAAGGACGATGCTCCCTATTTTTAAAGCAAGAGATTTCTAAGTGCACAAGCGGGACTTCCTGCAGACTTGTATTAATGTGCAGGCTTGTCTGGTTACTAGAAAATGTATGTAAGTGTGTGATGTGTGTATGTGGGTGTATGTGTCGAATGGGTAATAAGCATAGACTGAGGAATTTGCAAATTGATGTGTAAATGTGAGTATCAACTAAATAAAAACTAGTAGCCTATGCATATTTACTATCAAAATGCAAGCACCTCACTCTACACATATTACCCAAACATATATACACAGTATGTTTGTAGACATGCCTGAAAGTCTACTAATGAAATTATCATAGTCCATTTATGAAATTATAGACAGGCCAGGTGCCCCCAAAGCACACAAACCCCTCACTATTTCTCCAAATATTGGTTGCTCTGGCCCAAGCGCTGTGCTGTCAGCTCAGCTCCACACACCTGCCTGCTCTGAGTGTCCGGTAGTGGCTGCCTGATCTGCATATTTATGTTCCCTTCAGTTCCCACCTTCAGGCCCTAACCGTATCCAGCCATGCTGCCACCTGAGCACGGCAGAGACAATGGAGCTTTCCACTGGCCCGAATCCAGAAAGCCCATTTTCACACCAGTCACCAGGCTCTTTTGGCTGAATTCCCTCAATAATCTTGCCAGTCCCAGCCACCACTCTTAGCTCCCAGAGGGTCTGGGAGATTCATTTTGCATAGTGTTTCACTGAACTTGTTTTTCCTTCTTTAAGCCTAAATCACTGATCATTTGATATAGTCATCACCTATCTAACAAATGCACAAAGAGAAAATTATGGGGCACTTTTTTGTAAAGTTGAGACCAACTTCCTATGATTTTTTGTTGTTGTTAATCCTCACCCGAGGATATTTTTCCCAGTGAGAGAGAAACGATTGGTTGCCTCCTGCACACGCCCTACCAGGACAGGGATTTTATGTGCCCTTGACGGGGAATGGAACCCGAGACCCTCGGTTTGTGGTCCAGGGCTCTAACCACCTAGCTACCCAGGCCAGGGCCTATGATTTTGTTTAAACACCACTCCTCCCATAAACAAAACAAAACAACAAACCTTCCTGTGAAACATTAATTAATCCTCTCTAGCAAGGAAAATCCTGAAGCCAGAACACATCTACTTTGATGAAGAGATGAAATAGTGTCAGCAGTCCTTTCTTGCACATATGTGCCTGCCTGTGGAATTGGGCGAAGTGATCCCTATTGCCCTTATACCCCAGGGCTACAACTGACTGAGGCTTCAAGGTGCGAAGGGGTCTAAGCATGAAATACAAGATCCCTGTGAGTTCAGACTGTTTGAATCCAGGCAATTTCATTGGCTAAGAAAACCCTTTATATGTTAAATATTACTTTTTTCCGCCAGGAAAAAAAGTTTGTAAGTTTGTGCAACGTGATGACATTGCTAAACTTTTTCATGAATTCAGCTCTATAAAGGGTGCAACATAAATCAGAGTTCGGTTTGTGCTTGAGTCAGCCAAAAAGAACCCTTTCAACACAATTAAAACTGAAAATAAAGAAAAACTTTGAGTACATTGTTGCCACCTCACCTATAAGATTTCAGTTGTGCCCACCAGTACTACAACGACCACTACTTCAGCCAATACTCTACCCCCAACACCCTTCCAACAATTTCATCCTTCTACCTAATGGCCCAGGGATGTTCAGTAAGTTTCGGTCTCCTCCCTGGACAACTTAAAACAGCAAGATCTGTGACTCTGCCTTTTTAAAACGAACATTCCGATGCCCGTTAAACTTGCAGACTTATAATGAAAAAGATTCTGTAGTGTCACATGATTAAGGACAAATCCAGGCAACAAATGTAGCAGCAATCAAGATCAAGGTCCTGTAGCATCGTCCCCGCCGAGTAGCACAGTCAGTGCTATTAGATAGAATCCTTATGCTGTCTTTAAAGAACGCGTGTACAAAATGTCACTCAATTTGAAATGTGCTGTCAAAGAAATTGTAGCTTAACATGCCAATTGGAAGCTGGAGCACTGCTTTCCCTTAATATCGATCATGATGATGATGATGATGATGGTGATGATAACAATAATATGGCTTTCTGGTTTGCTCACTACTAATCTTGTGGCTCTTAACATTTGCATGACACTTTTTTTAAAACATTGGTGACTATTCAAAATTTCTTATCCACTCGTGCTAATGGCCACCAAACCAGCCCGCTGCTTCCACCGAATTTTAACGCAGATTCTTGTACTCCAGAAAATGTAGGCCGGTTAATCACTCCCGCCAAAAAGCTAGAAGACACAATCCGTCTCGCTGAACTAGTCATTGAGGTTCTCCAGCAGAATGAGGAGCATCACGCAGAGGTAAGCGGCGCCCTGGGAAATGGCCCGGGTTCCTCAGCTGCGGCTGCGGAACTGAGGGTACAGGTGACGTGGGGAATGAGGTGCTTTAAACCCCCTTTGCTTTCAACTGGCCTCGCCAAGAGAGTGCAAGTGGAAGGTGGGTGAGGAGAAGCCTGGGAAAGGCTATTGAGTACGACCCAAAAGGGATCACGTGTTGTACGTTTCAGCTTAGGTTTTCAGATGTTTCTAGCGACAAGCCAAAGAGGTGAGTGTGTTTTAAAATAATATGCAAGCAGCATATGGTTATTGTCCGGAGCACGCAAAATACTTTTTGGTCTTTTGTGGTTGTTTTTGTTGCCACCACTGTTGCTTTTATTTCTTTTATTTGGTGTGTGGATCTCAGGCCACGTTTTTGGATTTATCTTCATTTGTTAACCTCAGGTGACCTGGGTGGCTACACGCAGGGCCAGAAGTGAATTACTCTGTGTTGTTCCACTTGTCGATTCTCCAACATACATCTAAATAGATACAGCTTACTTTTTCTTACAGACCGCTGTCAAAACTATGGTTTTGGTGATAATAATTATAAGCCAAGGGATTTCAAGGCTAACTAAGTCCCAAACCTGTAAGGACTTAAATAATCCGATCCTCCAAGAAAGAGTTCAAGGTTCCATGGTGGTTCCACTGTGAAAACACTGCCTCCTTCAACATGGAGGCTTAAGATCTTAGCTCTTTCTGAAAACTGCACTAATCTCACTCTTCCTCTCCATTCAACTCTACAGCAGAAGGGGAAGAAAAGGCAATCCATAACAGTAATTTCTCAAGCACCTAAAATGGTCATTCCTGCGACTAAATGGAATTGACAGTACAGTTAACTAATATCTAATACCCATAAGCCCAGTCATCCTGAATAATGCCTGATTTGCATATTTAAATTTCCTCCCTGTTTTTCTACTGTTCCACTCAATCGTGACTGATCGTGGCAGGGGAAAGAGGTATGTGCCTGCACCGAATGAGCCAGCCACCTTCTGTCGTAGTCTGTGCATGCCCTTCCGGTGCCCTGTCTTCTGATGGGACTTTCCCGGGGCTCCTGCTTTCTAACACTGACCAAAGGAATGTAACAGCAACTTGCAGGGGGCTGCTTGTGAAATGGGGGGCCCTCCACGCCAGAGGAATGTGGGGGGATCCTCTCGTGCGTGCATGAAGCAGCGGATACACCTGACCACGAATGCAGTTACATCCCGACACCTGCCTCCTTCCTGCCGTGACTCTGTCCTCAGCCTGTCCTAGTCCCTCTGTCGGTCTGTACCTACCACAGATGAGTACCGAGCGTGGTAACCAGTAGGTGCCCAGAGTGATACTAATCTCCCTCTACGACTGTCTGTATGTGAACCGTATATACAGTATTTATATATAGAGAGAGTGCCACAGGATCGTTACTTGTCCGGAACCCTCCCAGGAATGGGGTGAAGACCCCTCCAGATGGGTGTACCTAACTCCTGCTGCCCCAGCAACACACAGCTGGGAGCGGGGAGAGGGGCCAAGCCAGAACCCTCCAAACAGAGGCCTAGGACTAACATCCAGACACATACAATTAAGTTGGGCTAGAACTGTTTCTTACTCTATCCCATCTGATAACAGTTCTTTCCAGGTTGGGGGCGTTTGGGGTCCAGGTAATGGTAAGTATGTTCTTTCCGGGTATCTGCAAGGGCACCTCCAGAGGGGTGGCAGGCTCAGGACTGCCCTCCCCTGATAACAAACCACATCACACATTTTTGAAGACACACACACAAAGGAGAAGGCCTTCCTCAGTCACTGTTGTACCTTTAATTAAATGCCTTGCTTTATCATCAGGTTCTTTTTGAGGCTGCTAGAGGCTAAGAAAGGATGACTGTTTTCCCAGATTACTCAAAAGAGGCACCAAAGGACCGTTGACATTCTGAAAAAGACAGTTTTCTTTTTCACTTTTCCCCAAATACTTTTTCACGAAGGGCTAATCATCCTCTGAAACTGCCCTGGTAACCAGGATCACAAAAATAGTTTAATCTTACACGTTCGAAAGCCAGCCAGGGTAAACATCAACTCAGTTCTGTTTTCATTTACTAGCTAGAAGTTAGGAATGGAGACTTCGGCGTGCTTTGGAATTTGGAGACCCGTTTGGTTTTTAGACAAAAGTACAGGATTATTTCCTGAATGAGTCATTTCACCCAATCACAAAGCTTCAGCACTCACTCAGTCAAAGGCTACCTGTGTGCTGAGACTGGGGCGATGGCCTCCGTGCTGCTTTGAAGGACCAGGAGGCGAAGGCAGTCCTGGCCGGGAGCGCGGGCTCTGTGCCAGAGACGCTGGAGTTTGAATCCCAGCTACGCCTCTCCCTTGCTCTGTGATCGCGCCTCGTCACTTAACCTCTCTTGCCCTGTAAGCAGGAGATAACTCTAGAATCAAGCTCACGTGGCTGCTGTGAGGATGGAAGGCTGCATTAAGCAGAGCATCTGGTATAAAGCCTGGTACATAGTAAGCACTCAACAAAACTCTACCGTTGTGTGATGAGGAACAAATTGGTATGGAAGCAGAATGTATAAAAAGGACCATAAAAAGCACAAACCGAGGTGGAGAGCCCCAAACGAATGCTATAGACAGGCTATGTTGAAAGGTGAGTGGGTTGGTTTCAAGGTGGAGTTGTCGAGACGGACACCAGCACCTGTCCTCAGGCTCACTGACAGATGGCGATCGTCTGGGAAGCTCTTAACAATTGCTGACGCCCAGGTCTTACCCCAGCTCCATTAGGTGCAATCTCATGGGAGGGACTAAGTATGGTAATTGTTACACTGCCTGGCTGATTACAGTACAGCAAGGGGTGCAGCCACAGTAGGATTTGCCCTGGCACGCTAGAGACAAGGCTGAAGTCTGAACATTTTTTCTGCTGCCCGTACTCACTGCCACATCCTCTGGGTGCTCAAGAAACTAACAAATTACTAAATCCTAAGCACCATCTTGGCTGTGTAGCCACGATGTTTGGTGGCACCACAAATGAAAGCGACAAGCAGACTTGCTCTCGCACCAAAAATCAATAACCCTTAAAGCCATTTTAAATTCCAATATTAAGTAATTAAATGCCCCAAGAGATAAAATTTTCCATGGCTACAAACACATCACATGCACTCACGTAGTGTATGCTAGCCATATCACGTTCATCTCTCACCTGCAGCATAATTCTGCTCTCAGAGCCTGTTATTCACACACACACACTACACTACACTTGCATGTTCTGTTGCTTTAACTTCCCAACCTCTCTCTCTATGTATATGTATGTATATGTATATATGTATTGTGGTAGTACACAGAGGGGTACATATATATTTAGAATTTGTGTACAAAAATATAGTGTGTTCAGTGTGGTTGACTGTACCCCTAAAGCATAAATCTTTGCCTTTAAATAATGAAAAGCACTGGGTAAGTATTTAGAAGCCGAAGTATAACTTCTTCTTTTCTTTGGAAAAGATTTCTAAAGACTTTCAATGCCCACAGACATTGAGTTAGCTCATGTGCAAAAATAGTGTCCACCTGTCCGAGCAAACAAAACCAATAAGTATTGTTTTGGCTTTTAATTTTGAAGACTTGCCTTGCCCAATCCAGTCACACAGACTCTGCTCATTTTTGGTCATTCCTGCCCTTGCCAGAATCTTTCCTCCTTCTCAGAGGCGGGTTCAAGGATGAGGTTCTGAAAGAATCTCCTTGGGTGCCCAGAAACAGCTCCGGCCTTCCTTCCCTCACAGCCGTGCATTTCAGTTCTCTCTGTTCCCTAGAACCCTAAGTCCCTCTGCCGGAATTCAGGAGCAAGCATTCCTATCACAGCAGCCATTGTTCTTTGCAGGGCTACCTACCTATATGATTATTCACACCACAACTGCAGATAATCGCTCGATCACTTATTAAATTCCAAGGAGGGACTGAGTTCTCTACAGATAGTAAAGGAGGTGCTGGTCATGGTCTGTGGTTTGCAACTTTTAAATAAAGGTGGTAAGAAACAGATTCAAGGCTAGGTTAAACAATTTTTAATTTCAGGCATTTAGGGCTGGTGTTTTGTCCTGTCATCCTGGGGTGGGGGGTGGGGGGTGGAGAGAAAGCAATTCAGTCTCTCCAGTAACTGTTGTTATCAAATAACTAAAGAATAAGTAGAATAAGTACCAGCCAAGATTTCCATGTGTCGTTGTGAATTCTGTGAATATCCCTCATCAGGACGGATGACAGCCAGCCCTCCAGTTAGGGTGGGGGTGGGGCTCCAGCAAAGTCCGACAAGCAGCGGGTCTCTGCCTAAAAGGCTGCTGCTGGGAGAGCTCAGGGCGGGCTGGAGGCTCCCTGCCTCCGCTGGATTCCGCCAGGTCGTCAGTGAGCAAGCCCCACACCTCAGGTGGTAAACCTACAATAAAACCTCCTTGATTCAGATGCAAACACTTGACATTTGTGGCAATGCCATTGCAGACGTGTCTCTTTTAATTTTTCTTAAGTAAAGTGTGTAACATGTTCTCCGCTTTCTCTGGAAATTCTGAAGGCTCTTCTTACAAGTGTCACCTTGAGACCTGCCAAATTAAACCTTTGTGTCTTTGACTTCAATTATATGTCAGTTTCTCTACGATTATCAGAAGTTCTGAAAAAGAAACACATTTATGATACATTCATATAATACCCAGTGAGTACCTTCTACTTTGATGCTCAGCCTGCCTTTGAAAGCAGCAACTGCCTATTTTGAGGAAGCCCAATAATTTAGGCTTTTATGCTGACCAACTAGCCCTTCTCCACTGCCATTACTCTGAATCGGTGAGGTTTTACTGTAAATTAAAATGGAAACAGCAGGTGTCTATTTCCAGCCAAGCTGACCTTGAAGAATGGTCCATGACTTGATTTTTTCCATTTAATTTGCAAACCAGCCACATGTTGATAAAGGAGAAGTAAGTAAAATGAAATCCCATGAAAGAAGAGAGGTGGACCGCTATTCTGCCTCCTAGTGGCTGTTAGAATATCCCCAAATAACGATAGATTACAGAAAAGCTTGGCTATTGAACAAACACTTTCATTTATGGAATTATTTCCATAATCATCATTCATGTTGTCAAACGCCTTCCATCCTTTTTTCGGTGAATGCTCCTGAAAGTGTTTCCCATGTAAATACTTTATGGCACTGGGTGGGGAGGCGGGGGACAAGATGAGGCTGGCGATGTTTTTGTTTTATTGCTGTCTTTGAAATCAGCAAAAAAAAGGGCCTGTGGCCACCACCCATTCTGCATGCTCCCTGCCAGAACTGATTAGTCACCATGCATGCATGCCTCTGAATTGCATTCACATCTGGCCCAGTCCGATGTGAATGTTGCCCCGAGACCCTGCACAATGATTTCCAAGGACCCACGTGCATGAAAATGAGTTACTTCACTGATATTTTTTGGTTTTCAATGTACATATGTGTCCAACCCCACCCCACCCCACCTCCTGAAAAGTAGAAAAGTAAGTCCTCATCTTACTGGTTCCCAGAGTAAGCCTGATCTTCCCTCCAGGCAGGATACAAAACCAGAGGCCCCCCACTCACAGAGATTTTGACTCAAACGTTTTGTGACAATTGCAACAATGGTTTCCTTTGCCTTGGTATGAAAGAGGAGTAACATGGCCAGTAACGTGGAGAAACACGAGTCATCGACCTTGGATGAGACTGTAGACAATTAAGCCCCACACGTGTAGACATAAGTGAACACTCACTACAAATTTTCAAGTTAGACCAGCAGAAAACCCATAAACACAGTGAAGAAACTCCCAAATTCTAATACCTTCGAGCAAGAGCCAGCCAACAACAGTGATGAAGAGCATGACCCAAAACATACCGAGTTATTGTAAACTGAACAGAAATTCCACGTCTGGCACAGCTACAGCTGAGGCCTCTGACCAGTGGGTCAGATGAAAGACCTCCTAAGGCAGGACTGGAATCCTGAAAAGCGTGGCCTTGGCACGCTTAAGAGGCCACGTTGAATCAAAAAATGCTGTTCTCTTTACAATAAAACTACCAAACCCTGCTGATGCACACTTAACCTTGGCCAGCGAGGGCTTCACATCCCATCTCACGTCGGGGAGTGAGAAGCTCATTGCCTTTCTGTCTGTTGTTTTTCTGCCAAATTCCAAAGGCCTTTGCGTGGTGGTCGGACTTGATGGTGGAGCACGCCGAGACGTTCTTGTCGCTCTTCGCGGTGGACATGGATGCAGCTTTAGAGGTGCAGCCGCCAGACACGTGGGACAGTTTCCCGCTGTTCCAGCTGCTGAATGACTTTCTGCGCACCGACTGTACGTATCGTCTTCGGCTGTTTGCCCAGCCTGAGTCGTGTGCAGATGAGCACCTTGTTCAAATGCGTTTATCCCAGACACACTACAGGTTGGACATAGCTCTTTGTAGGTTTATTATTCATTCAAAAACAAACAAACTGACAGGGGATGGTCTTTCTCCCAACAAATGTCCTGTGACAGGGAAGCCCTCTCTGAACCAAGCCAGAGGACCCCAGAGCAGTGTCAGGAGTGGTGTCCGTGGGGTTCTTTTGTTCTGGAACAAGCTAATTAACCTCTTCACATTTTTTCAATTTTTATCCAAAGTTGCTTTTTTAGATGAAAATAAATGTCTAGCTAAGTAACACCCTAAGCATCTTGGAGTGTTTTACACAACACAAAGTCATAAAGTGGACCTTCCTGCCAGGGACCGTGATGAAGGGAGGGTAGCATCGTCTCTCCTCCCGGTAACACCGTGGGAGGAAGGGAGTGGGTGCCAGGAACTCATGAAAAAGGGTTGTTGCTGTTTTGTTGCTTTTAAAGGAAAGTGATTGTTTTTCTTTTTGAGAGGAGGAACGCAAATGGGTGAAATGTTTTAGAATTCCGTTTTCTTCCCACACAGATTGAAGCATGAAATTTGGTTCTGTTCCTGTACTTTTTTTCTTTATCTTTTTTGGGGGTAAGGGCTCCCTTAGAAGCCATGGATTTAATGTCAAAGACAATCCTCTCTGTGTGTATGCCGTGTGCTGACAAAGCAACGGTGGGCCCTTACCAAGACTTTGCTTCTCTGTTCTAGATAATCTGTGCAATGGAAAGTTCCACAAGCACCTGCAAGACCTGTTTGCCCCACTTGTGGTTAGATATGTGGATCTGATGGAGTCCTCAATTGCACAATCCATTCACAGGGGCTTTGAGCGGGAGTCATGGGAACCAGTCAAGTAAGGAAACCTCTTTTGATACCATTGGAGTTTGGGTGCAAATAGCTGGAGAGTCATACGGAAGTGGATTAACGGTGTCTTATGGTTTTCAGTGTTAGCGTGACGGAGAGCAAACAACTGGCCGTGTTTCCAACTCAGATGCACTTGGTCTCTTTGGCCAAAGGGGGAGTGGGAAAGAGGTCGATAAATGTTTTATGAAATGAAATCTTTGTTTTATTTCACAGGGTAAATAAGGAATAAGGGATAGAACCCCGGTTGTGGTATTTGTACTGAGTATCTTACTCCAGTGGTGTTTCCCTAGGAATTAACATTTCCCAAAGTGTGTTCCACAGGGTCTAGACAAGGGCTCAGCAAACTTTTCCCATAAAAGGCCATGTAATAGATCTTTTGGCTTTTCAAGGTACATGATCTTTGTCACAACTCCACTTTGCTGCTGTAGCGCCAAAGCAGCTATAGGCAATAGGTAAAGGAATAAACATGTGTTCCTGTGAAAGTTTATTTGCAAAAGCAGGAGACCGGCCTGTGGGCCATAGTTAGCCATTCTCTGGCCTAAGCCTTTGAGACGTACCTCAAGAAAAGGACTCGGTGGCCAAATACGGTTAGAAACCTCTATGTACTCCACACCCTTGTCTCCTGGGGAGCCACGAAGCAACCAGTCGGTGTATTTCAAAACCCTAACATAGTATTACAGAGCCTTGTTTAACTCTGCTTAACCCAGGGTTATTTGACCACAGTACTCATTTTTTTTAATGGGATATCAATCTAAAGGACAAATTCCAGGAAATCCTGTGGACTGTGAACTTAGCATATCTACAACTGCCTGGGGAATCTACTTGAAATGTCTAGCGGATTCACTGCCATCTCCACTCCCAGGCAAGGAGGAGGGCCAGACTCCAGATGCCAGAGGGCAGGTCCAGACTCTGCTTTCTGGGGATGTAGAGGGCTCCTAGGTAGAGATAATTAATAAAGAAATTAATGCAAAATAGCTTTCTCAGCCCTCCTTCCACATCAGTACCGGGGAGGAAGTATCTTAGCTTACCCTACTGCGAGCAGGTTAATAGGCAGTAGCTCTTTATTTGCAAACACATACCAAGAAATCTGGAGTTGAGTTTGTTATTCTCAATTTCACAACAATCTCTTACTATGGCCCTGTGACTTTTAACTCATGAGAATAAAACTGGGTCCCTTGATTAACAAGGAACTCTATTTTTTTAATGCTCACTGTAATCCCCACAGTTGTGCTTAAAGAACTGTTGTGAAGGGAAAAGGCTAAAATGTAGTAATATTCACATTTTGAAAATAGCTATGGTATTGAAATAGCATTTACTTGCTTGGGTTTAGATGTGGAGGCTACTACTATGGACACACATAGGAAGAAATGATTGGCATCCCGCACTGCTTCTTAAAGGGCCCTAGAGCGAGGGCCTCGCCCTCTACTTATTAGCCAGAAGGCTAACAAAGGCAATGAAACTGCTCTCTCATCTGCAAAACTGACTTTTAAAAATGTCCCTACTCGGTGTCCAAGAATTGTCAAGAAGTTCTGTGACAAGGTCACTAAAGCCATTTTGTAATCGGTTCAGTTCTTCAGACACCAAGCAAATTACTGCTAATTCATTTTTGAAGTGCCGACTATTCTTAATATTGTCACAAGTAAAGACAGAATCAAACTGATTTCACAGTTGGAGGTCTTACTGTGGGAATATTTTATTGGGTATTTTTAAGTGATTAACAAAATAAAATTTGAACTCATGGATCAGTAATTTAAAGGTCTGAAAATTAGTGATGGATTAATAGTCATAAATAATAACCTGAGAATCTTTTTTGTTGATGGATTTTTTATGTAGCTTTTACCATGATTGTGGTTTACCCAATTCATGCTAAATAGGATATGCCCTTCAGAGTATATAGAGATATTTGAAAGTGCCAACTAAAACATAGGCTAAATTAAAATTCATGGAAACCACACATCATATTAGGGGATTTGTATACAAAGTGTGGATACCATGGGACAGATTTGCAGAATGGCCAGCAGGAAACGAAGGGGAAGGATCTTGGGGACATGCTTACGTGCTAAAAGGAATGAGTCTCTCTGTACTCCCTTCCATGTGAAGAGAAACGAAGTAAGAACAAACATTTATCTGACCAGCTAGGGGCTTGATAAAGAAGCCGAGATTTATTTTTCTTTGTGGATGTTTTTCTAAGTAAAGAATGATTTTTTGGAATGCTTTTCATCAAACTTACTCAAAAACAAGAAACTGACTTACATAAGTAGATTTGGTTCCCTCAATCTTCTTGAAGTTTGGCACATGATTCCCCAATATACACACATAGAGAGACCACAGCCCTTCTTTCAAACATTTGTCACACTCAGTTCTGTTCTTCCACTTTTCAAAAGTCATAAATATAGGTATCTGACCAGAGGTTAAATGACTGCAAGTGCACTGTAAAAGCTTCCTTCACGGGAAATGGTGTTCAAAATGTTAAAGAAAAACAGCACTCCGACAAGCTCACTAAAAGCAGATTTTAAACATTCTTCAGATTTTCTTATTTTAAAATATGGCCACGTAAAAGCAAATAGAGATGTAATCATCGTTAGGGTTTGGTACAAGTTATTTGGCAGGAAGGGTAAAAGGCTCAGTCCTAGTGCTGCTTTCTCTAGTGCAGCGGTTCTCAACCTGTGGGTCGCCACCCCTTTGGGGGTCAAACGACCCTTTCACAGGGGTCATCTAAAACCATCCTGCATATCAGATATTTACACTACGATTCATAACAGTAGCAACATTACAGTTATGAAGTAGCAACGAAAATAATTTTATGTTTGGGTCACAACATGAGGAAGTGTATTTAAAGGGCCAGAAGGTTGAGAACCACTGCTCTAGAGGGATGGCCTTCCACCTCTGCAAGGAGAACAAAGGGGGCTCATCGCTGTTCCCATCAAGCCAGAGAGAGTCACGATTAGAACCTCTGCGCTTCGGTGGAGATTGTTACCGCTTAGCTGCTCGCCACAGCTGGAGACAGACAGCCTCTCCAGGCCCGGCTTGAGCTGGAGCCCAGAGCCCCCTCCAAGGTCTCCGTCAGGAAATGTCACTGGGCCAGCACCCAAGCGGGACAGGTGTGCACAGCCCTCCGGCAGCCCTGAGGATCAGCTTTCGGTCCTAACTAGCAGATGGGCAACATTTCAACCAGCTCTTTAGAGTTGGTTCGCTGTTAGTCAAGTCATCGTGGAAGAAAATTTAGAAAGCGTCTAATCCAAAGCTTGCCAAGTCTAGTACCCTCTCCGCATACCCTCTCCTTGGCAGATCCTCTCTCGATCTGCAGGTGAACAGCTGCAGGCACAGGGAATCCTGGTGTCATTGGTTCCTGTTTCAGGCAGGGATGACTGAGTGGGAGAGCTGAACCCTGCTTCTTGATGTATATACATGGAAAATCTGGATTTCTCAACATGCACTTTCCCTCTCTCTGTCTGAGCTATACATATGGAAATTATTTTTAAAAAGAATATCATTTTCCAGATTGTCAGTATATTAATGAATAACAAACTGTCAGACCAAAGACACCTTAGCAATATGTAGATGGCCTGTTTGAAGTAGACAAGTTGTAGGCACGCAGTCAGACTCCCAACTCTGCCAGCAAAGTGCTGGGTCACCTTGGGCAAGCCAGCAGACCTTGCTGTGCCTCAGTATCTTTCTTTGAAAACCAAAGACTTTGAATTCCCAAGACTTTTCCAACATTAACCTAGAAAATGTGATTTTCCATATTCACATTTAATCACCATTGCCTCCTTAGCACCTAGAACAGGGCCTGGGACATAGGTGTTCAGTGAGTATTTATTGATTAACTGACCTTTATTAGGGAATCATATAGGCTGGAAATTGTAAGGATACAACAGAACAACTGTGGGAAAGGAGGAAGAAAAAGATATATCCCCCCGTTAGGGATTTCAGTCTAGTTGGGTCTGAGCAATAAGCATGCAAGAAAAATGACTTTAAATGTTCACCATGGTATTTATCAAATCACATAAGGAAGAGCTTAGCCTGGAAGGGGATGCACTTCCGCTGAAGAGTCATGAAATAAACAACTGGGAGCCTAGGATTTCAAGAGGCACAGAGGTGCTGGGAAAGGGCATGAGCAGAGGGAGAAACACGGGGGCAAGTGAGGTGTGCAATGGAAACTCCACGCCCTGTTGGGCCAGCATGGATTGTAAAGGAGGCAAGCGATACGGTTGGAGAAATGTGTGAGACCTTCTAAAATCCCAGGAAGTTTGAAACGTTATTCTCCAGGTTGTGCATTCTAAACGGGGGCTTTACAGCTCCCGGAGCTGGTGCAGGTTGGTTCTTGGAGTGGGGGAGGGAAGAAATATCTTGCTCTTGTTATGTACATTCACATACAGTATATTGGTGCTATTAAATTTTCATGGGGAAGGCAGTCGGGTGGTTCGATGATGATCATGAATAAAAGGTTGATAAATACTGCCCAAAACTCTGAGACTTCAAAGTGCCCATGCCTCAAAGGAGGAATAAGACTTAAGAAAAGCACAGAGAGAGACATTCGTGTCCAGAGCACCAAGAGACGACAAGATGTATTACATATATTCAGCAACAAATGGCTGATAATATAGGAGACATCCGTATCTTACATCTGACCCATCCATAAACCTAAAGCTTCTTTGAGAAAAGACCCAACCATGTCGTCTCTGCAGGGAGACCCAGTCTCGATTATAATCATTTCCAGAAGCAAGGAATGACTCTCGCTCTAGTCATTGCCATCAGCAGAGATGATGAGGTGCCCACATAGTTGTTGCTTTCATCCATGTGGGAGCGAGATGAGAATTTTTTAATTCAATGTTCCAGAGACGGGGCCCTTTGACATGCATGGGAGTGATCCTTTTTCAGCACATCCCCAAAATGAATGAGTCTAATTTTTAACATGTATCAGATGTGAGGATTGCAATTCACACTTCTACTATTCAGAGATATCCAATTATGATTCTCACAGAGAAG